CGAACAATTCAGTCACTCGAATTTCCACGACCGACAAACTGACGCCAGGCCTTGCGACTCCTTTTCTCTCGCATCCTCTTGACGCCGCTCAGGGCGATCTGGTAGTCCCACCAGGCGTCGGAACTGATTCGCCACAGGATGTCTGGCAGGAGGGCGAGCACAGTGACCAGCGGCAGGCACAGCCAAAACGCCGGACAGGATCCCAGGTAGATGTAAGCCATGTAGAAACGGCCAATAGGGCCGGAAGTGTACTGAATAGAGTAAATCAAACAATGAATCCATGGAGCTTGGAAACTGAGAATCCAAAGCATTTATCCTTCTTACGATTTAAAGAGGGGTAGAAAGAACAGGATCTGGGATTTCGGTTCCTAGGTATATTCGGAGTTGAATTAGCGGGCACAGTGGTCGATAGGGTAGCCAATTATATAACACATTGTCATGCCCAGAAGGCGTTGGTGAATTATAATCAGGATGATGAATGTGCATTGGGATCATCCCTAATTATGAAGTGTGCTATTTCACGAGAAAAAAACGCCACTAGACTTCACTACTGAAGCTATGATGATAGGTAACCGATGTCCTGAATAGATTTAATTGGTTTCGGAATCGGTGTCAATCTGTCTCGATACAGACCATCTGCTTCAAGCGTTACGAATGACTTTGCCCTTAAATCAATGGCCCTTCTCACCTGGTAAAGGAACATGACAGCGAGGTTTAGGATGCCCGTAAGAAACAGACCAATAATGAGGGCGAGGTTGAGATGACGAGACGCAATAACGCTGCGCATTGTGCATGTCACCACAAGGTAGATGAAAATTGCATTGCCAAAGAGTTCGAAATCAACCGCAGAATAGGAGACTCCGGATTGGAAGAAGGTTGCGTCCGAATAAAGCATACCACCGCACAAGACGTAGTAGCAGACGAAATAGACAACGGATCCATGCCACCAACCGTCCATAACCCAAAGGAGGATGTACCAGCACCGAAGGTTTGACGACTGGCTCATCTAAATACACACAGGGTTGCATTTACCAAAGAAAATTGAGCGCAACAGCACTTCCACGGGGTTTTGCTTCGCCACACAAACACTGCAACATTCTGTCGCTCTGGAATTCACAATTATACAGGTATCACTGAATTGGCGAAAACGGGATGAGGTCTTACCAGGCGGTAGAGGTACGGCCGACGCAACAGTTCATTCGCGGGCAGATGCTGTTCCATTATTCCAAAAATGAAGGGCGCATAGGCAGTGAAGGTCAAATTGTAGAGAGTGTAGAGGAGGCTATCGAAGAGGGATTGTCCAGAGAAGCCGTCATAGAACATTTGATACACCTG